CTCTCTCTCTCTCTCTCTCTCTCTCTCTCTCTCTCTCACACATGCGCACAGCTCCCAATCAACTCGACTTTCAGCGTATTTCTGCCAGTGCTAGCTCCTTTGGCGCTCCAGAGAGCTGTGATGAAGCGAGAACGCTCGGCAGGCACCTACCGAACATCGAGCTTCTACATGTCCAAGATGCTCATCGAGGTTCCCAGCAATGCCGTTCAGCGCATTCCCTTTTTTGCGGTGCTGTATTGGATGTGCGGTCTGAATCCTAGCGCGGCTTCCTTCTTCATTTTTCTCGCCCTCAACTTGATGCAAGTCATCGTAGCCACTTGTGAGTGCAGCGCGTGTGCACTCGTATTGGCTCTCGTGTCTGCGTCCCCCGCGTCCCCCGCGCTCACATGTGCCGGACACCCTGTCGCAGGTCTGGGTCTGTTCATCGGAAGCGTGTCGCCAACAATCGAGCTTGCAAACATCATCGCTCCACTCATCAGCGTCATTTTCCTCCTCTTTGGCGGTAACCTGCTCCCATCTCCTCCTCCCTGGTTCGTCTGGCTTCGATGGATCTCGCCCATCACCGAAATCTAGACAATTTCACGCACGATGAGCGATCAACATCCACGCCCGTGTGCAAATCAGTTGCGCCAAATTTTGACTACACGATCGCGACCGCCGCTGACAACCTTGTCCGCTGCAAAGTCCACGCAATACACCTCATCCTCGTGACCAGGCAGATCTACTCGAATCTGTGGGTCCAAAAGTGGCGGAGAAAAGTCAGCCGCTGTGCAGCGCTCTTGTACACAATCAACCCACCTTGAACGTCTTTAGGTCCCACAACTTTAGCGTGGAATCTTTGGAAGCGCTGACCAGAATCCTGCTATCGGCGCTCCAAGCGATCCTGTACACGCTGGAAACGTGACCTCTAAGCGTGGCTACGAACTTGCCCGTCTTGCCATCCCACACCTTGATCGAGTTGTCAAAGGAAGCAGAGGCGATCAGCCTTGCGTCTGGAGAAAAGGCTACGTGATTGACCGTCTTTTGATGGCCTGTGAAGCGGGACAATGGTCGTTTGGGAGTAGCACCGCCTTCGGCGCCCAAGGACACGTCTCCGGATATTTGAGGCGGCCAAAGAAACAGCGTGTGATCGTCCGAGCCACTGATGGCGCGCTCAAACTTGTTGTTCGATGTCGATGCGTCGTAGCGAGTCTGCGCAGAGGCTTGCGCTGCCAAGTCGAGCTCTGTGCATTGCCCTGCACCGGTTGCACCGACGATATCGGCGGCACTCCTAGCTCGCTGCTCCTTCAGCCTCGTCTGTGCAGCCTGAACAGCGCTAGGTGAAGGTTTGGCGAAAGAGCCAGTGTGGTCAAAGGGACCAGTCCTGAGCGTGTGGTCGGTGCTCAGTGCCAGCGTGTTGACCCAGTGCGCATGATCGTTGAGCGTCCTGATCAGCTGACCCGTCTGGTCGTTCCACACCTTGACCGTTCTATCGCTGGAGGCAGTATACAAGGCACCCTCACCTCCCCATCTGACCACATTGACGCTAGCACTGTGTCCACCCAGCGCAAAGCAGAGCGTGCGATTCGACACGTTCCATACTCGCACAGTGCCATCCTTGGAGGAGGATGCGAGACGAGGTGAAGTGGTGTTGCGGTGAATCGGCTCCCAGGCCAACGAAGTGATCCATTTGGTGTGGCCCTTGAATGCTCGTCCCTTTGGACCAGATGCTCTGGCTAATCGTCTCTCTGCCACTGTGGGTCTGCCCTTCTGCTCCTCATCTTTCCCCTTCTGCTGCTGCTGCTGCTGCTCCGCGTTCTCTGCAGCGACGCCCTCCTTGGCTCTAGCAGCTGCTCCCCAAGCTCTGCGGCCCACCTTGCCATCGCTTGCATCCATGGCATCCCACACCCACACATCGCCGCTCATATCTCCTGTGGCCAGCCTCCTCTCTCTGCCTTCCCACTCTGCGCAGAGCACCCACCCGCTGTGTCCAGTCAAGGCGTGCAGGGGAAGCTCCGAGTCAATGTCCCAGATGCGCGCACTCTTGTCTCCCGCGCCTGTGCATAGCAGTTTGGAGGAAGGTGAAAAGGTGCTGCAGAGGATGGGCGAAGAGTGACCAGAGAGGGTGCTGCTGCATCGAGTGACGGGTCTGACGCGAAAGACTGCCTGAGGTTGAAAGATGACTTGCAAGACGTCTTCGGTGCTCAAGCCCAGTCTTTGAGATTGCCAGCTGGACAGCACGTCCTCTACGATCGACTTGTGTATTTGTATGCGCTGATTGCTCGTCGCCTTGCTGCCATCATCCCCGACCTGCGCCGCGGCATCCGGCAGATTGACGTGGAAAGCATACGGTACGTCCTCCTCCTCCCCCTCCTCCTCTTCTTCCCCCGCCTTCTTGCCAAACTCTCTCCTCAGTCTGTTGACCACCAATTCCAATTGCTTCGCAGTCGTATCAGCTGGCAATAGGATCTGATTGCCCAAATCCTCTCCATCTTGCCCCGATCTGAATTGAATGACGATCGACTTGGACGAAGGGCCGTGCTTGCCCGATGCTGCCAGCGCTTGGGATTCGCGCGCAGAGGCTTCGTCTGCCAGCCGTTGGCGCTTAGCTGTGCGTGCTGGTATCAGCGTGGCCATGGTGCGCTGCTTTGGGATAGGAAAAAGCAGCAGAGGCGAGCACTGTGTTGGTTTAGTGGGAGGTGGTCAAGGGGCGTATGCGTGCAATGTATGCGGGTCCATACACGACCCCCCATGCAAATCACGAATTCACGAGTTTTTGGCAAAAAAGTTCGGTGGGAGCGATCAGAGTCACGTGATCCTTGTGATGTTGCGGCTGTTAGGGATTTTGAGTTGGTCGCGCGTTGAGCGCTGCAGGGCGCGGAATGCCGAGGCTGAGCTTGGCTAGCTGCTCATAATCACTCACCAAGGCGCGCGTGGCGTGTGGATGCTTGCTTGCTTGCGTGCTGTGCCCATGCAAGTAAGTCAGGTCAAGACTTTGGATGAATGAGTGAATTTGAATGTGTTTGCTTGCTGCTGCTTGAACGCAGTGTGCCCTCCCTTCGTTTCATCCACTACCGCATCCCCTCTTGAACACCGCTTGCGGCCATTGCTTTGCTCGCGCCATCCAACATAATCGGACTGCGCAAGCCGACTGGCACACTTGACACGCCCCTCGCACCTCGCACCGACGCGCACCACGCACCACGCACCACGCACCACGTACGACGTCCCTACGACTTGATCCCCTCTCAGCGGACGCGCACACGGCCATTCCTGGCCCTCGACAGCTTGAGCTTCACAGCGACCTAAACAGCTAAGCACACCCAAGCACACCCTGCTGCGACCTCTCTCGCGCACGCGACACGCGAGTCAAGATGCGCGTCCTTGATCGAACGCAAGCACTAGCCTTGATCTGTTCCTTGCTCTTCGCCGTGGTCATCGTGCAAGCGCAAAGCACCAATCAGCCACAGTCCAATTCGAGTCAGGCGCCCAACTCGAGTGGCAGCAGCAATGCGCGTGAGTGATGGAGTAGAATGTCAGCATGGAACGGGTCGACTGTATGCGTGGCGGGGGGGGGAACAGGCGACGCTCAGTGTGCGCAGAGTGGAAGTTGTGAGAGACGCAAGCTCGCCCAGAGTAGAGGGCGGCCAAACAGACACATCATCATCACTGAGGATCTCTGTACCCAGCAGCGAGGACTCAGCAGCTTCGACTGACATCGACGCTACTCCTCTTGCACTCCTGACTCGCAGCACAACCCACGGGCAATAACACGACGCCAGCCAACGGGAACGGTAACGGTAACGGTACCACATCGGGCAATTCTACAAACACCAACGCTACTCAAACCACAACTACTCAAGCCAACTTTCCCACCGCTCCAGTCTTTACCACTGGTGCGCTGGCCGGAACCCAAGCGGCGCCCGCACCTGCTGGCACTGCTGGCACGGGCAGCAATGCGGTGGGACCCAACGATGGTTATATCGCTGCGGCGAATAGGCTGTATGCTGCTGCTGGCATCTCTACCGTCGCTCTGCTCGGAGCAGGCACTTGGCTTATTCTCTGAGGCAATCACTGCCCTCTAGCACGGCACCTACCAGGTGTCGACCATGCTGTCGATGCCCGTTCACTAGCAAACTCTCACTCTGCTTGCGGTACGCGATGTGCTGCTAGGGGGGGCCATCCTGAACACCTGGCGATGCGCCTCAACGACGGCCAAGAAGTGAGCCCAAGCTGCAAGAGGTTCATCTCTACTCCATGATGCTCATCCTTCCATATCTGCATCTCCTACGGACAATCGCTCAATCGGGGACCTTTTTTCGCATTTCTGCTCTCATCCATCCATCCCCAACCTCGTACCGCTCACACATGCTCACGAAACGCAGCCGCACTCCGCTCTCCCCGTCTCTTCCGCGCGCGCGCGCGCAACGCTTACCCCCTCATCCCAGAATCCGAGCACGCAGAATCATATCTCTGCCAAGAGACGCACGTCACATCTAACATGTAGTCTAAGCTTCTCCTCTCACATCTCGTCGACGCGCACGCACACGCGCACGCGCACGCATGGTCTCCTGTCTATATATCTATCCCCTTTACCTTCGCACGCCAGATTGCTCTCATCTCGGGGGCGCGTGTATGAGCTGATCGGGTGTGGGGGGCCGGAATGTGGCTTTATGGTTCGCAGTACGTAAGAGGTAGATCGAGGGCGAGGGAGCTGTGGAGTTGAGGTAGCATGCAGCGGCGCACTTTACCGCCTCGCTACCACGACGTTGCAGGCCCACGCACTCAAGACTATTCTGGGATTCAACGCTTTCATACTCGTCATGGCTGAAAGCGCGACTTTTGAATCCGTCAGCTTTCTTAGAGAACATTCAAGAAAGATTATTCTTGCGGGGTGCAAACAAGAAAAAAGTCAAATGGCAATCAAGATCTTTGCAGATTTAAATTGGTATGCTGTACGCTTTTCTCGTATGTATGCTGAAACTTGCAGCGGCTCACAAACGGCAGAACAGCAGCAGCGGTATAGAGGGGCGTGGCAGAATTAAGAGACAAGGGGGAGAGGGGCTGGCGCTGATTCGCGCTGCATGATCGCCAGCAGCTACAGTACAGTAGCTGCGATGTCTGTTCATGTCGATCATGCAGCAGCAGCAGCTTGCTGCATGGAGCAGACGCCATCATGCACACAAGACAGTAGTATGTACCGCTAGCTCAGAGCTTATGTACTCAAAGGACTGGGTGGGGGCGGAGGCGCAGAAGAAGCGCGGGTTTGAAGCAAACAACCGCATGAAATGCGGACGTGGAGGGGGGTCGTATTGTATAAAAGTCGACGCACGCAACATTCAAGATTGTCAAGTACGTGGGACCTGAATTGAATGGGTTGTGATTCGTGATTGCATGCTAAGCTCGCTGTTGTTGCGCGGGGACTACAAGCAGCAATGCAATCGCAATCGCAATCACAATCAAGCCGTTGCGGGCTGGACGTGCCTTCGGGCTGCTTGATTCGCGCGCCTTGCTACCGTACGCGTACGCGTATGAGCGTGCATCCGGATGGATCCCTTTCTGGTCGCACTGCTATAATCTATCTACCGTACTCACGACTGTAGCTGCTGACATGCACTACGGTATAGTAGTCGTGAGTGGATGTGATAGGAGTGGCAAGCCGGGGGTGCTGCATGTCGCTGCTAATGTACAGTATGGTATGGTGGGATGGCGCTCCAGCTGGCTGGCTTGAATGCTGCAGGCTGCCTGTCGCGAGCCCTGGACGATAATGTAATAATAATGCACCCACCCACCCTACACTCTTCAGTCCTGTCGCCCAGCTCCTGCAAGGCTGGGGCGAGGCTGAGGCAAGGCTTGACAGCTGGCTGACTGCACCGGCGAGCTGCACGTCTTATTCATGATTGCATCCACCCCCCCGTCTTGAGGTCTTCTTGTTTTGAGCTTTGGCCGCACTTGCCGAATGCAATTCGATCGTGACTCGTGACTCGTGACTCGCAACTATCGACTGCTGACTGTCCTGTTCCCACTCTCTACTCGCGCGGCACCGCGCACTCCGACTGCTCTCACCGTGCATGGCCATCGTTGCGCTCGACTCGACTGTGCGTGCAGTGCCTTTCTCTCGCTGGCTCGCTGCCTGCCTGACTGTCTGAATGCATTTTTGGACTCTCGCTCCTAGCGTATTTGTGATCCTGCATGTCTCCCGCAGTGGAAGACTGCTCGTGGTACGCCGTGCCATGCACAAGCGAGGCGTCGCACCGCACCGCACCGCACCGCACAGCACAGCACCGTGCGCACATTTCACGGTGCCCCCGGGAATCATGAATGAATGACAAGGGGCGGGTGAGGGACGAGTCGAGTGTGAGCGAGCGAGCGAGCCAGCCATGCAGCCATGCACCATACAAGCAGCAGTCAAGTCAAGTCAAGTCAAGGCGCGCGCGCCAACGGGCTGTTTCCCCTCCCGCAAATCAGCACGGCACGGCACACACACCTCGTCTCGCATCGATCGCACTTCGAGGCAACTTCCAACCAAGACTTTTGTGACTACGGTACCGTAGCCGGCCGTTTTGGGGCTCACTCACACTTGACGCTTGCTTCATCGAACACGTCCAACATCGCTTTGCCGCGCACCTCGCACCTCGCACCTTTCCATTCCCTAAAGTCGACTGCGACTTGTAATTCTGCACCCTCGTCTCCTCTCCTCTCCTCTTTGCTCGCACTCTCCTTTTATGCGTGAACACACCGCCGCACATTCGTCGCCAGTACACCTTCCAACGACGTCTCCTTCTCGACCAGTCCCGTCCTCACACCCTGCACTTTCTCTCCCTGAACTTTGAGTTGGGCAAGGGGGGGACTCCGGCAACTTTACAGGAAACAACGCAAGGAGGGGCAGGCAGTTTTGACGAAAGGAAAGCTGGGAAGGAAAAGAAAGGCGCAAGGCAAAAGGTTCACGAGATTATCACGAGTTCACAGTACGCGACGCATCGATCTGAGGGACTTGGAGCGCGGTCGACACATAGCGCGGCACATTGCGCGGTCTGGTCTGATCGAGTCTGCCGCAGAATCAGCAGCAGTCATCAAAGCCCGCGCATAAACATCGATCGGATCGGATAGGCATCGGGGGGGCATCATCAGCGGCGGCGCCGCCTACACATTCGAAAGTCTGGCGGAACGGAGGGAGAGCATCAGGCAGCGGCTGCCACAACGGCGCGCGCCGGGGGGTTTGTGGGGAGAAGAAGATTTCTCGCAATCACGAATTTGGGGCATCTCAACTGCGCATAGATTACTCGGGACTTGGGGACAGACTCCTTGGCCTTGGCGATATATTCGGGGATTAGCTTGGGCGAGCACCTCGACTGCGAGGCTCCTCTGTTGCTCATCATGTGTGAGTACGTCCTTTTCCAAGCTGTACAATCCCGCATGCGCGTGCGCGCACAGTGGTGGCAGAACGTAGTCAAGTGGGGGTGTGCAGGAGCTAGAATCAGCATTTGAAAGGGAGAGAAGTGGGTCGATGGGCACGGAATGGGCGCGGGCGCGCGGACGTTCGCTTGGACACGGCGTGGGGGAACATTTTGCTGCCCCTGCCCTGCCTTTTTCGAAACGTCTGAAACGTCTGCATGGGGAGCAGGGGCGGAGGTGTGCGCGCGCTGCGCTGCAGGTTTTTTTCTTTTTTGTTGTTTGGCGCAAAACGAGATGCCCCCATAGCAGTCAGAGTAGCGTCAGGAGTAGTCAGAAAGAGTTGGGGGTCAGAGTCAGAGTGGT